TTTGTCTTAATTGTTAACTGACATATATGAAATACTTTTCAACTTAGGTGCAATATGATATTTTTGAATTAAAAGAAGTGGAAAATGGAAAAGGTAACATGACAGTTATAAAAAAAAAAAGTATATCATAGACTAAATAGAAGTTTGTTTATTCAGAATACATTGGATACAAAAAAAGTATAAATAGCAATAAAATTAAGGAGTTTAGTATTGATTTCCTTTTTTGATTTTGTTGTGTTGTTTTATAATTTTTCATTTATTTTTTATTTTTTGTTTACTATTGAAAGAGCAATATTTTTGGCTAGTAACAGAAGTTGGTGATTTAAGGTTAGTAGCATAAAACAATATTTATTATTTGGTGATGTTAAGCTTAGTAGCATAAAAAAATTTTATTTGATCATTTTTACTGTCAGTATGAAAAAAAAAAACAATATAAATGAAGCCAATGAACATATTTTGAGTTTTCTTTCTACCTAGGACATGCTAGAAAACAAAAAAATAGAATAAGTTAGCATAAAAGCTAAGTATGTTGGTATCCTTCTAATATGCAATAAGAACATAAAAGAGAATGAAACACACTTTGTGCAAATAATATGCAGTATATAATTAATACGAATTGACAATTTTTAGATCTTTATGTTTTAAAAAATGAATCAAAGCATATTCAAGTCAAGTGACATGTGATAATTACATAATGAACAAACCAAAAGGAATAAAAGGTAAGAAGAAAATGGGGACCAAAATTAAGATCAATGACGAATATTTTAATAGGGTAGCGTGATTGTTAAGTGAATAATAATTTTGGGATTATATGATGTTCAGAAACGTGAAACAAAATAACATAGTAAATGTCATTAGAGTACTGAAAAAGTTGAGCCAATGTAATATGAAGAAACGAATATGAAAATCATAAAATTCCAATAAATCCAACTTAAAATAAAGAAAGTTAAAAATGTAAACGGCTTAGGAGTCTATGATGCTGAAACAAAATTAAGCACGAAGTAATATTGTTTGTAGAAGTAAATGCATTTACTTTTCTTTCTTGGGTACCAAAAGGGATTGGTTGTTCATCTGGTGGTGACAACCGAGGAGTTTTAGAAGTAGACAAATTCTCCATTTCATCAAGATCTATGCATGTAGCAAGGTTTCTTTTTAATTCGGTTGGTGTAGAAAACAACTTTGTAGGACTTGTTGCAGTTGAGTTGTCCCTAGCACACGGTGTTAAATTTTCACCTGTGTGTGAAAAAGAATCCTACAATAAATTTTAGTTAGTTCTTATACATTAAATTGAAATATTTAAAAATTATATTTAAAAAAGTAGAACCTTCACAACTTTGGTCTCTTGGGAGGCAATATCTGAAGAACCAATAATGAATGAATCAGAATTATCAGGCTGCATTATAAGATCAAAAGAAAATGTTATTTTACTCATGTATAATTGGGCCAATGTCGTGTATAATATATATATATATATATATATATATATATATATATATATATATATATATATATATATATATATAATATATAATATAATTGTTGAAAAAAACCTGTGAATTCAGATTCTTTTTCTCTAGTTCATCAATTATGTTTGCATTCTCAGTCAATCTTGCTAGTCCATAAATATTACTTTTATTATCCACATTGTAACTCGTGATATCAATTTTAATTGCCAACTTTTTGTCAACAACAACTTTCAACTCCATTGGATACAAATCCAAACTGATGCCAAGCTAAAATAAAAATAAATATTGTTAGATATTTTGTATGTAAAACATATAATGTATAACATATAGAATATATTAAAAACCATAAAATAATTACCTTCTTGTTTTTATCATACAACTCTTTAGCTGTGTATTTAAACAGCTTCTTTGCTTCTTGATCAAATAAGGTTAAAGTCAAAGTTCCTGTGTTGTCTTGAACCCGAAGTGGGATTTTAAATCTAAATAAAGTATAAAATGATATTATATTAAAAAATTATGATAAACATATATTGTTTTTATATAAAATAAATATGTAATACCTTGGAATAACCGAAATTTTGATATTTTTGCAATTAGGATTAGAACATTCATAAGTAACAATTTCGGCCACTTCATGAGAACCATCAACCTTATCAGTAGAAGACTCTTTTTCTTTTGCTGACTTGTAGCAGTTGCTACAAGCAAGGTAATACCATCGTATGTTTTGACGTATTCCCTTAACAGTACCAACAATAATGACCGTTTTCTCCTTGAAATTAAAAAAATGTGCAATGTGAATAAATGTTAGTATGCAAAAATGCATTATAGTTTCGTTATAACAATATACTTTGGTTGTTTCTTACTAACAATATAGTTTGTTTAAAAATAATGTAAAGTACCTCTAAAGGTTCAAACAAATCATCAATGTTAGAAAACATATGATTTTTGAGAAAGTCATCGTGTTCCGTGTTTTGTTTTGATGCAATCATCTTGATTCCACTTGACGAAAGTTGTTGTCCATTTTCAGAAACCAATCTGTTAATTCATAACAAAAAAATAATTAAATTAAATACATTATGAAAAAAATAAATCTCAAACTACAATGGTCATTATAAATATAAATACTTATTTTTGTAGCTTGTAATCTCATCGATATCATTGTTTATGAACAACCTACTAACATCAAAGTAAGTGGAGGAAAAAGGACGACCTGCAAAAACACTTCTGATTAATTAATTATATATAAAATTTTAAAAAATACGTTTTAAAAATAATTACAAACCATTAATAAACTTCACTCTGGCAAACTGAACAATAACAACAACCGGTGCAAGGCTGTTATTATTAGCCAGAAATTCTGTCATGTAGTATGCATTATGACCCCACAAAGTTACCTTAAGCTTAGTATCCCTGACAAGAATAAAAAAAATATTGTAGCTAATATAAAAGAAAGTATATTATTTGTTTGTCATAATGGTAAATACTCTATATCTTGAAGATGCAAGAGCATTTTGTGTTTTGATTTATCTTCTTCAGATGTATCCATACGCCCATATTCGAATATGTGTCCAATAATATCTAGAAAAGCAACAAAATAGATTGCTTAAGTTAAAAAAATTATCAATTTGTAGCAGATAAAAAAGAAAGTAGGATGTTATATAACAAAAGTTAATATTAAATGAACTAACCAAAAGATTTTGACTCCAGGATGTTATTCGAAACGATTGTATTGAAGTCAACAAAATCAAAGCCGTGTGCAGATCCAGAAAAGTTTTCACACTCTTTCACAGTTGTATCGTGGTAAAAGTTAAGTTTTCTTTCTGGATCAGCAAACTTAAAATTTAAAGTATTTGGTGCGACATTAGGTTTCTTCACATATATCGAACTATCTTCTTTAAGATAGCGTTTGAATTTTGGAAACCATTTTTTCACACAAGATGCATGAATTTTCCTTCCCTAAAAAATAAACAAATAACAAATAATTATATATAATTGTTTATAAATATATACAAATTTTTACAAAAATAATAATTGAATATATACATCATATACCTCCTCATCCATCAAAATCATTTCTATCGAGTATGTTTCTTTTGCATTAAATTTTGACTTTTGAGTCCAAAGATGTATGATTCGAACTTTAATTGTGAAATCATCATTGATTGAGTCAATTTTCTTTATAGGAGTAATATGTTCCATTGTACCTTGCAATTAAAAAGTTAACAAAAATGTTAAAATATAAAAAAAAAAAATCGAAAGCCATTGATTGATTTATTTATATATTTGTCTTAATTGTTAACTGGCATTTATCAAAACATTTTCAAGTTAGGGGCAATATGGTCGTTTTGGAGTAAACGAAGTGGAAAAGGGTAACATGACAGTTATAAAAAATAAAAAACTATATCATAGACTATAGTAGAAGTTTTATTATTCAAAATACATAAAAAAACAAAAAAAAAAAAAAAAAAGTAGAAATAGCAATACACATTGAATTTTTTGTTATTCAAAATACATAAATAGCAGAATACATAAAAAACCAAATAGATTGATTGATTGTTATAGGTCAGATTTTATTATTCATAATACATAAATAGCAGAATTTTATTATAAAAATTGATTGATTGATTTATTTGTCTTAATTGTTAACTGCGATATATCAAATACTTATCAAGTTAAGGGCAATATGGTCTTTTTGAAGTAAAAGAAATGGAAAAGGGTAAGATGACAGTTATAAAAAATAAAAAAGTATATCATACATTATAGTAGAAATTTTTTTATTCAGAATACATAAAAAAAAAAAAAAGTAGAAATAGCAATATACATTCAGTTATTTGTTTTCAAATTAAGGGCATAGATTGATTGATATAGCAGATTTATTATTTAGAATACATAAATAGCAAATTTTATTATTCAGAATACATATATAGTAGAAGTTTTATTATACAAATGGATTGATTGATTTATCTGTGTTAATTGTTAACTGCAATATATCAAATACTTATCAAGTTAGGTGCAATATGGTCTTTACATATATAGCAGTATTTTTATTATACAAATTGATTGATTCATTTATTTGTCTTAATTGTTAATTGCGATATATGAAATACTTATCAAGCTAGGGGCAATATGGTCATTTTGAAGTAAAAGAAGTAGAAAAGGGTAAGATGACAGTTATAAGCAATAAAAAACTATATCATAGACTATAGTAGAATTTTTTTTTATTCAGAATACATAAAAAACAAAAAAAAAAAGTAGAAATAGCAATATAAATTCAGTTATTTGTTTTCAAATTAAGGGCATAGATTGATTGATATAGCACATTTTATTATTCACAATACATAAGTAGCAGATTTTATTATTCAGAATACATAAATAGCAATATACATTTAGTTTTTTGTTTTTAATTAAGGGCATTATGGTATTTTCTATAGTAAATGAAGTTGATAATGAGGTCACATTATGGTTTAATTATCGTTTAAAAATCTGTATAACAGTTGTGAGGTTTAGAAAGTATAGTTATATATAACATATGTATAAAGCATTGAAAGTAAAATAATATAATGAGAAAAAAAATCGAAACCTATATCATAGACTATAACAGAAGTTTTATTATTCAGAATACATAAACAGAAAAAACCAAATAGTATTTTACTAATTCTATTTGTTGTATTTGATACTATAATTATAGAGAAACAGGAATGCAGGGGAAAGAGTAAAATAGTAAATATATATAGAAGCAGAAATTATATAACATAGAAAGACAGAATGAATATACGTAAGAAAGGTAAACCTGGTTGATTATGCAGTCCAGAAAAAGAAGGCGATTGGTATACGATCGATATATGAAGAACAAAAACAAAACAAATGAGTATAAGATCGATATATGAAGAACAAAATCAAAACAATGTAGTATCCCTTACCAGACGATGAATAATCGACTTATTCGTACTGAAAGAGGAACGTAAAGAGGAACGTAGGTGTTTGTGTATATACATATATTTAAATTCAAATTAGGAAGACTTTGCCTGATTTTTTGGGATTGTTATTCGATTGACTGATTATTTGGGATAGAGATAAAGTTTAGCTCATATTTTATTCCTAATTTGTTGCAGATTAATACGGTATAATTGATAATTAGAATTTTGAAAATCAAATTTGCTGTTTTTGGCGGATTTGCAGTATTGTTTCAACGGAAGGGCAAAGTGGTAATTTCAGTTAACACTATTGAGCGGGAAAATGAATGGAGTTGGACGCAAGGAGGTTACACGTGTCTGTATTGGTACTGTTTTATTAGTAGAGTAGATTAATTAAACTCTTAATTAATTAACAAATTAGACCCAAATAAAACTCTCGAGTCATTTATTGCTAATATGTCTTTGCGTGTAACCCAAAAGTATCATACGATTAATAGGAATATTACCAACTATTGTGAATGTGGCACTATCTTCCAATAGCTCAAACTTGCACAAGACACCAACACTATATGGTCCAATATTCACTAATAATAAGTAGAGAGTGTGTCATCCAATACAGATACCATACCATAACTCCAAGCTTTTGTACAACCCTTAGATAAGTGATCAAATATTCATTTGATCTTCAAGATATTTATATGAACGTGAGACATGGAGATATATGTCAATCTCGAACGTTCAATATTATGTTTCCTAATTGAGACTTGTGTCGGCCACAATAGACTACATAATTGATTCATTATTAATTTAGTCTGACGCGACGTATTTTGATGTCAACACCACACCATCAAGGAGCCCAAATATATCGACTTCTCATGTTAAGGAAAAAGGTCCAAATAAACTTCTACCACACATATCAAACCTAATACAGTTGCCAGTTGCGAACAACATTGGGAAGAAACCAAAACATAACAGATTGTAGGACACACCTTATGCATTTCTGTTTGAAGAATATATGATATTACCATGTAACATCCTAAAAATTCAGATAAAATTTTCATTTTAAATTCATTTCAATCATACGATAATCACATCAAATAGTCGAAAGTATATCATAGTAAAATAATATCATAGTACAAAATCCCAAAATCACGTGATGCAGAAAACATAGGTGGATGCGGTGCAATCAGGTCAGGCCATCTCTTTCAAGCTGGAAGTACCTGAAACATAAACTGAAAGTTGTAAGCACAAGGTTGGTGAGCTCCCCCAAAATACCTCATACTATACACACATAACAGTCAAAAACATATTAGGTCTACTTCACCCCCTTCGGTATCTTTCAACCACTACTTGGTATATTTCACCCCCTTCGGTATCTTTCAACCGGTACTGGGTATATTTCACCCCCTTCGGTATCTTTCAATATGTATCAAGTCTATTTCACCCCTACAACAAACACATATAATCATAACAATAAGAGCCACAAAGACATCAAACATATAAAGATAAAACAAGTAATTGTGTAACATCCCAAAAATAATGACATAAAATTTTCATTTTTAGAATAATAAATCGTTAATACATATCATTTCTATAAAACCAAGGTAATCAATATTTAGCAAAACAATATCGAATCAGAGTAAATCATAGAATGCAAAAACATGTGGTGTGTGCTCTGCAATCATCCCGAGCTAGGGATGAGAATATGAACCAGGGAATCGGCCGGAAACAGAACCCGATGGAACCGGTTGGGCCGGGACCGATACTATAAATTCATCAATTTTTGGAACCGGGACCCGGTAAGAACCGGTCGTTGGAACCGGCCCAAAACCGGGAACCAGACTGGATAACTCACTCAAATTTTGAAATTTGTATAACTCACTCAATTTAACTTTTTTTGACCTAAATCTTTTTCCTACATGTAGATTATGATTTTTAGTTAAGTTTAGACTATACAAATGCTTGATTTGGTTAACTTAATGATTAAGAGACCTTATCACAAGTCATCCTCTAAGTGCATTCTGATAGTTAAGAATAGGAGCTAGGAATTGTTGAAGTGGTCACATCAAGAAGATGAGTCATACTTCGTTCCAAAGCAATTCTTAGAGTCATACTCCAAGATTGAAACGTGAGTGACATATCTTAAAGAAGATTTATTAACACTAGTCAAATGTAATAGTAAAAGGTTATATACTCTTGTACATTTGAAATTGGTAAGTTGTGATGGTCTGGATAAAACAGAGATCAACTTAGACCAAATGTGTGAAGTGTTTGTCTTGATCTACACTATCCCTTGAATATGTGACAAGAGAGTCTTATATGTCAAGGGGAAAGTGGGAGTCTTAAAGGTCTTGAAAGTCTCAAGAACTAATCAAGAATAAAACCTGAGGTTCTTCACTAGCACATGACTTGAGGTTTATACCCTGTCGTGTTGACGTTTCTGTGCCCATTCCAGTTAAAGTTGGCTTTGCATATGAGTTCTTAGAGTCCTCAATTGGTTGCACAGCTACTTGGAAGCTATGGCAGGCTCTTGTGTTGCCAAATGGCAAGAACTTAAGATTACACAAGTTCAATCCATATGAGTTTAGATTTGCCACTAACCTTGTCTTGTGATTATGGTTTTGACAAATTCATATGGGTAAGAACTCATACACCATAAAAATCTAAGTGTCATAAGGTTTCTCTCCGATTCATGAAAATGATGGTGAGGAAACACTTCCACTAAGTAGATTTGTAAGTAGATAGTAATCTTTGCACTCTCAAAGTTGTTAGTAGGCACACTAACATGGACTTATGAGAAATAGAAAAGGTCTAAACAATTAAGACTATGATTACAGAATCCCTTTTCATAGTTCTGAAATTGTTTAGACACACATGTGAGCTATCTAAGATAAGGAGTATGATTTTGATAAAGTCTTATCAAAGCAATCTAGTATCAGAAATATGAACTTTAGTAAAAAAAAAGTCAATAGCTGACTAATGAGCACATGTCAAAGCTAGTGGGAGCATAAGTGTTATGCTAATAATCATCATGTTAGTAGGAGCATGATAATTATGATAAGTATTGCAAGTTAGCAATGTTAATTATAGAAAACAAAAAGTTTCAATTCGTGAGGTTGCAGGGGTTGAAAAAGTTGTTATGCTATAATTAAGGGAGAGGAAATTATACTTCATTTCAATTATGAAAAGCTTAGATTGAGTTTATAATCATTCTAAAGAGCTTACATTGAGATTTTAATCACCTTTAGTCAAGAATATATATATATATATATATATATATATATATATATATATATATAT